TTTATGAACCAATGTTGCTATCAAAGTTATTACTTGCATGGAAAATCTATTAACAGCTAACAAAGAATACAGTGACATTAAAATAGGGCTTTATGTACAAAATGTTCAATGTGAACTTGCATGTTCCTTGCATATTTTTGTTTGAAAAACTGAAATGAAGGAAGATCAATATAAAAATTAAAATCAGCTTTCTCTACATATCTGGATTATGCTCAGCCAAATGTTGATATCATTTTGGATGAAAATGTAAATATGTCAGAATTTGTTTTTCAGTCAATACGTCTTGATAAAAAGCTTTGAAACGTTCCCAACCAAAAACAGTTTTTCATTTTAAGCAAGGGTCAACAAACTCTTTCTACAAAGAACCAATTAGTAAATATTTTTTAGTTTTATGCAACACATATGGCCTGTATTGTATATTTTTCATTGTTTTGTTTCATTTTTTAAGTACCCTTTGAAAATATATGAACCAATCTCAGCTTGTACACAGCACAAAAACAGGCTGCAGGCCACAACGGAACCAGTGGCCACAGTGTGCTAACCCTAATTTTAAAGAAAGAGACCCCAAGAAAAATATGCCACAGGGCAGAAAAAAAGGTCTGGAAATCACTGGATGAAACTAAGCTGAAACAATTATCAACATGTGGTTATTAATACAGTTTCATTAGTTATTTTGCAGGTGGAAGGAATTTTAATGGCAGAACATACTTTGATCTCCTGCCCTAGAACTATAGACACAAGAAAGAGAGGCCAAAGGCCAGCTATGCGCCCAGCATCCCAGGATTAACGCTTCTAAGGCTCTGGGCCATCGTATGAACACTACTTCCCCACACAGATGTAGAGAATCGAAGTGGAAACATCGCAACTTTCCTAACACAGAGATACATGTGCAAAACCTAATTCCTCCTTAGGAAATGCGGTGACTTGAATTCATGGAGAGGATGGGACTGACCCAATTAGCAACATCTCACTATGAGAAGTGGCAGGCCTGGCCTGGAGGCTGTAGCAGAAGCTCTGCTACACCTGTGTGATTCTGAAGCACCAACTAAACCTTTCTCCTCTCGCTTGTAAAAGGTGCAACAGGGTTATGGATAAAATAGGTAATTTCTAATACTTTCTGCTGTCAAACTATAACTATACTAAATAATGAAACCACTCAGGAAACATCTAACAGGAAGAAGGGGGCAGGGCAGGGCAGGGCAGGGCAGGGCAGGGCAGGGCAGGGCAGGGCAGGGCAGCCCCGACCAAGAGAAGATGCTGAGGCTGCCCTGCTGGAGGGCAGTGCAGGCTCATCTCTTCATGTTCCACCAGCACCTTGGTCCATTTTACCATGATGGTGTGTCCTCTCACCAATGTCAAAATGAGTCCACATCAGATAAGAGACAGATACATAGCCAAGTGCATTATTATTCCTAGTTACCTTAATATTATATTTTATGAGCATTTAATTAAATGTTAATTATGATTAAGTAGGGGGTTTGGGGAGCCAATTGACAGTTTTTCAATATTTGACCTAAAAGGCTAGTTGGTCCTAGACATCAGGTCTATAATGTCAAGCAGATAAAAATATCCTTAATCTGACACATTAACAGATATTATCTGACTGATACACTCCAAGATCTCTAAAAAGTCAGATAAAAAAAAAATCTACCTACCATTTACCACCGCAAAGAGCAGAAAGGAAATGAGAGCACTCAGAATGGCAAAACCTTAGAGAAGTGAGACAGTATCTGTGAGACGAGTGTATCCGGAGTCAAAAATTGCTCTCTTCCTCTCGTGACAACAGAACCCCTAATCAAACACTGTCTGAAGATGACAGGCTCTCATTTTTAAAACAACCTAAACTTTTAAAAAGGAAAATCAAAACTTAGAAGCTATCTTTTATGAAGAGAAACAAGGCACTTCTACCAAAGCACACACACAAACGCCAGGCGTTAAGAAGAGGATCTTCCCTGTGACCCAGAGCGTACCAAGTTTTGTTAGAAATGCTAGTGCAGACCTTATAAAAACCCAGTCAATTGACACACGTGGGTACTTCAAGATACAATTAGGACGGGGGACGAGACAGGCCAGAAAGGGTCACCTCAACAGCTTCAGATTCCCTGGGGATGGTGAACAGGGTTGGGAGACTAAACACTGCTGCCAGACATGTGAACACTGTCAGTAGAGTCTGTGGAAATTTTCACCAGAGTGACATTACCATTCGACTAATTTTCCCAGCTTAATTTCAACTATAAAACATTAGGTTTCAGATATATCAATTCTTCTGCTGTTTGAAGAATGCTACCACTTCCTGTTGGAGCTCTGAAGCTAAATAAGAGGCATGGCGTTTCCCCCCTTCGGTGTCAACTGAAGACAAGGTTCACACCTTCTTTGTAACCACATCCACCACACACACAAAAAAAACGAAAACCAAGATGTCCCTTGAGATTCACCCATTTACTGTCTACCTCCTATTCCAAACCATTGCAAGATACAGACTTTCATATTTTAATAGTTGGAAACCTCCAAAGAAACTCTTTTCATCATTTAAAAAATAAAATACACGCAGCGTTTGGGGATATAGCTAAGTGGTAAGTACTTGCCTAGCATGCTTGAGGTCCTGGGTCCAATCTCCATTGAGGGGGAGAGAGGTTGGAATTCACACAATTCTAATTTTTCAGAATGAAAACACTTTTAAAAAAATACTTTTAAATTATTTACTTATGTTTGTATTTATTGGGGTGGTTCTGAATCCAGGGCCTCATGCAATGCTAAGCATGTGCTGTATCACTGAGCTACATCTCCTGCCAGAAAAATAATTTTAAGAGCAACTATTTTAAAAGTTATCAGATACCACTACTATGGCTACTGATTTTTTTTTTTTTTTTTTTTTTTTGCGGAACCAGGGATTGAACTCAGGCCCTTGGGCTTGCCAGGCAAGTGCTTATTCTACTGAGCCATCTCCCTGGCTAGATACCACTACTATGGGACAAAAGTTACAGGAAAAAAAAAAAAAAAGAACAATAGAAGTATTACAAATAAAAACTCATTTAAGGAATTTAACAGAAACAGCATCAGTGTGATTTACTCATTTTTTCAAGACAAGTGGACATGTAAGGGGGGTCACACAAAGAACCAGTAAAGCCCACCCACTCAACTTTTTACCATCTGCATCTGCCGTATGCATTCAACAATGCAAGAATTAGCTGGGGTTTAATTAGTGCCAGTGTCAAAAATTAACACCCTTTAGTTGCTGTACCAGTTCCCACCAAATCTTTTAGAAACACACTTGAGAGATGACATTTAAAATCTGCTTCCTCAGAAAAGAAAAAGTCCCACTCAAGACTGACTGCCAAGAATTTGGAACTCAAACTTCCCTAAACCAGACAATGGTTTTAGGCCATTGAATCTGTATGAAAGAGATTAGAATAAACAAATGAAAGCCTTTCCCAATACTTAATTGAAAAGTGCTTTATACCCAAATAGTTTTTTAAAAGATAATAACCTTAAAACACACAAATATCTAAACACCCTTATTGCTAAAGAACTAGCTCTTTATTGTTTCCCAACCCAGAAATTCATGGTGAAAATATGCTATGTAAGAATCATTTGAAAGATGCCTAAATAAGCTACTATTAGAAGCCAGAAACATCACTCAGAAAACCCAAAACTAAGATTCAAAAGGTATTACTTCAACTATTAAAAAGTTAAACTGGGCCTGGGGAGATAGCTCAGTAGAATAAGTGCTAGCCTGCCAAGTGCAAGGGCCTGAGTTCAATCCCCAGTTCCGCCACAAAAAAAAAGTTAAACTAACTTCTACAGACAGTTTAAAGCCAGTTTGATTTGCTTTTCTGTTCATGGTAAGTTGGGTATCTTGTTAGCTGGAGGACAGCTCCTAGGCAAGATAAAAAACCTCCCAAATCTATTGGAAGTAATGGGAGAGAGAGATCACATGTGGTGATGTATTTTAAAAGCAACTATTAGAACCAAAGCAAAATACACAGGGAGGCAGGCAGAATGCAACACCAATTCCCCGACTTAAAAGTTACTAAACCTGCAAGCCTAAGAATTTAAAAAGATGAGGAGCCCTGCTTCTCAGATGGCAATAAAGGGGAGAGCCTTATTTCCCTGACCACATCGTTTCCAAAAGTCACCAGCCAAGCCCCTGAACACCCATTAACACTCATGGAACAACTTAACACTCCATACACATTATTCCATCATTAGTCACTTTCTGTTTTCTCCTGCACTTGATCCCAGAGAAAGAGAAAATCCAGTCATCAGTGGTCCCCGCTCCTGGGAAAGTCCTCACCCGCTGCTTAACACTCCCTTTCGCTTTTCCACCTTGGTCTCTGCCCAGCCTCTCCCTACACGCGGCTTCCCCTCTGCCTTCCCTCACACCCGCTCTCCGGGACTCTCTCCTCCAAGTATCCTCGCGCCACCCCCGTCTCCCACTCTGCCCTCTCGGCTCGTTTCGGTGCAGACCTCCCGCGCCCAGCGCCCCCTCACCAACCTCGCCTCCAGGTCACTCATCCCCTCCATCCCCATCCGACGGCCTGGGCTCACCTCTCTTGTCCCTGGTGTCCTCTGTCCCCTGGCTTCACGTCCCTCTCCTCCTGCAGCCCTTGGCTTCCCCCTCTCGTTTCCTTCCTCTTTGCTATCTTTTGACCATTTTCACGCCCACCGCCCCCTCTCCTCTCCCCGGGAGCTTTCCTGCGTCCCCCCACTCGGTCCCCCCGGGGCCCCTCCTCGGCAGCCCGGAGCCGCTCCAGCTCCAGGACCCCCGGTCCTTGTTCCTTTGCTTCCTCCTCTCTGTCCCCCAGGCCCCCCGGCACCCCCCAGCCTCGGGTCCCCCCCCGCCCGTCTCCCTCACGCCTTCGCCTCTCCCGCTGCCCGTCACCCCACGGTCCCCTCTCCGGGCGCCCGAGCCCCCGCTCGCCCCCGCTCGCCTTCGCTCAGGCCCCCGGTACCCGCCCCCCATCTCGCACCGCAGCCCCAGGCCGCCGCCCCTCCCTCACCGATGGTGGAAATGAAGGTGGTATTGAAGGCGTCCTCGGAGAAGCGGAACAGGAGGCAGGTCTTGCCCACGCCCGAGTCGCCGATCAGCAGCAGCTTGAACAGATAGTCGTAGGTCTTCGCCATCTTCTCGCTCCGGCCCTCTGACCAGGGAGCGAGAGGAGGCGGCGGAGAGCGCGCGGAGGGGGCCGCGAGCCGGGGGGCGTGTCCGCCGAGCCGCGCGCGCCCCCGCCCAGCGCCCCGCCCCGGGCCTCTCGACCAATCCCTGGCGGTTTCGTCATCACCGCCCGCGCCCCGGGCTTCATGGGACTCGTAGTTTCTTCCGGAAACGTCGGGCGTGCCGGGCGCGGACTGTCCGAAGAGGGCCTAGTGGGTGAAAGATGTGTTCTGGGTGCTGCGACCTGGTGGCCTAGGCCTTTCCAGACAAGCAGGGGAAGAAGGCCTCGTTTCCAGCTCTGCCCATCGCGCCGCCGGAACTTAACTTCGTTGTTTCTTTGTCTGTGGCTGCCTTTCAAATCCAGGACCTCGGGGGCTGAGTCCCTCAGCTTCCGTATCCTTTCCGCCGGGACCCGAGCCAGAGGCGTTTTCAGTGCCCGGAGATGCAGCCGGAGACCGTCTGGCAGAGAATGATTAGCGTGCTCACTCGTGGCCCCTGCACGCGACGTAGGCCAGGCGCGGTGACTACTGTAGGGGATCTGCGCAGACCTCGTTCCTCGCCCCGCAGGAGGAAAGATTTTTTAAATGTGGGAAGGCTTGTGCTACAGCTGTGTGGCCCGTAAGAAAGGAAGCGCCATCTGAGCCGGGAACTTTGGCCGTGGGAATGTAGAGCATAGGATTTGGAGGTAGTTCTGGCTCAGCTGCTTAACCGCAGTGACCGGTCACGCAGTTTGTAGATGTCGGTTTTCTCGTCTGTAAAATGAATATGAAACGAGCTACTTCATGGGATTGGAGTGAAAAGTAAATAGCAAAAGTGAAAGCCCAGGACAGCCCCGTGAGCGGTACCGAAGTGAATGGAGTTTATATTCTTCCCTCGGTAGGCGCTCTGTTGAGTGACAAATGGAGAGAGGAAGCAGCGTTCTCATACTTGATTTAAGTGGTTTACATTCAGGTAATGTGCAAGTAGCCAAGAAAACCAGGCACCCCACCCGATGGTTAGAGTTCTCTATTCCCCAAGAATCTTTTTTCTCGGTTTTAATTCCTAATATGTCAAATATCAGCAGCTAAAACCAGAGAGAGAGAGACGCTTTGAGCCGGAGTGATGACTGGCACCTGCAATCCCAGCCCTCAGGAGGCAGATGTAGGAGAACTGCAGTGAGGTGGAGGCCACCTAGGCTACACAGTGAGTTCAAGGCCAGCCTGAACTACAAAGCAAGACCCTCACTCAAAACCAGAAAAAAAAAAGTCCTGAGATCATAACATTTGTTCTGGGTCGAACATTTACCTTATACATAAGGAAATACTACTGGAATATTCAAAGTTGTTTAAGGGAGCCAGTAGACTCAACCATTCATGCAGTAAGAAAAAAACACAAACAGCTGAACAAACTAGCAGTTCCCCACCTTCACCCACTAGTGTGCAGGTTAAATTCAGGCCCTTTGCTACATCCCAACCCTTTTTATTTTCCAGACAGTCTCAATAAGGTGCTCAGGCTGGACTCAAATTCAGAATCCTCCCACCTCAGATTCCTAGATTACAGGCATGTGCCACCACGCCTGGCTCAGCAGGCTCTTTTAGGTACACATCTTGAGTACCTTTACCTTGTGACTTCATGTACAATGCCATGGATGTTATATTCTTAGTCTTATTGCAAGAGGACAGTATTGGCCTTCAGCTTCTATGTGGACAGAAAATGAAAGTTATCATCATTAACTCCCATTTACTGACCAAATGGTGTTTAAAAGGGCAGCAACTGCTGCTGCTCCTACTGCTGCTATTAACTGAATATCTAATTTCTAAAGCCCTCATGATGTCTAAGTCAGGGTAACCGGGAGGGATCCTGACCTGTAGCACAGGCTGAGACTGCCCAAGGCTGGCCTTAGGCAAGCTTCATATATGTGTATGTGACTGAAAATTTAACTCAGGGCCTTTGCACTGAGCTACATCTCCTGCCCTTTTTTATTATGAGACAGAGTCGTTACAGTGCCCAAGTTGTACTCAAACTTGGTTTCCTTGTACCTCATTTCCCATAGGACTTCGGTCACAGGTCTGCTACACCATACTCCCCTTAGGCAAGCTTCTGAACTTGGCTTCAGCCAGTCAACAAATAAGGCTCTATTCCTTTGTCCTCATTTCTAGAAAAGTGGGGAAGGGGCCAGGGAGATGGCTCAGTAGAGTAAGCACTTGCTTGGCAAGTGCAAGGGCCTGAGTTTAATCCCCAGTGCTGCCAAGAGAGAGAGAGAGAGAGAGAGAGAGAGAGAGAGAGAGAGAGAGAGAGAGAGAAAAGAAAAAAAAAATGGGGAGGGAAGTCTCAAAGACCAGTAGAATCTTTCTCTTTAAAGATGTGTTCATATTAAAATAAGTTTTTTTGTTCTACCATTTGCATTCAATGATTGTCATTCTCTTTCTATATGAGTAAGAACAAGCTGAGATGATGAACTTAAGTTTAAAAGAGAAGCTAGAGTTAGGAATCTTCTTAAAGTCCCTAAATTTCCTTAGGGGAATTTCATGAATTGATGGGAATTTTGTTTTAAATTCTATTTTGTTTTCACTTCTTCAGCTTTTCTCTACTACCAAGTATGTTCAGATTTTGTGCAACAGTATATTGGAGATTAGATTCTTGGTAGTAATCTGTACTACTGACTCAAGACATTTGCTGAACAAATCAAAGATCTAAGTGTGTTTATGGAGAGAAGGGAACCATAGATAATAGGTTCCTGGTTGTTCCTGTTTTCCAAGCGCTATTAGCAGACTCCTTCCAAAAATCTACAGTGCTGTGCTCTGAGGAAACCAGGTGCCCAGACCCAGCCCAGACATGGTACATCGCTGCGAAGCGCTAGGGAAACCAGCACATTCAGTTTGATCTGTTACCTGAGCGAGTGGTACATAAACTATGATCCTGGCTACTTAGGTGGCTGAGGCAGGAGGATTACAAAGTTCAAGGCCAGCTTGGCCCCTTAGTGAGACACTGTCTCAAGAAAAATCAAAAAGCGCTAGGATACAGCTCAGTTGTAGAACATTTGCCTACTCTGCATGAGCTCCTGCATTCAACCCACAATACTGAAAAAAAAAATTTTTTTTTTAAGTTTTCTGTAGGGTTACATTGCCCATGACAGCTTGACAAGACTCTAATGTCCAACAGGTTTATGCTCTCTGGGATCTTTTCAGGCCACCCTTCTTTCTTCAGGATTTTAGGAAGCTGCTCTTCCCTTCCTGGTGACTGTGATAGAGGGTACTCTGACCACCTGGCCACGGAGGTGGGCAACTGCTCTGGTCTGGTATGTCAACCTGAGTTCTTTCTAATGAGCTGGGGTGATGATTGGTGAGGTCTGTATGAGCTCCAGGCTGCTTTTGATGAGAGTTTTAGCTACTTTTCCTGTGTTTTCTTCTTGCCTTCTCTGCTTCCCTGGTCCTCAAACTGGCTTTCTTCATGGCAGCAAGCAAGACTGACAGGCTGCACAATTCCAAGGCAATCTCTCCTCCCCTGACAGCACTTATTCATCATAGGAAACACAAACCCCCCAAGTATCTACTGATATATTCTTGGAGGTATGTGTGTTCTCTGTGCAAATTTTCAGAAGAATTGAAGAATTTTTAAACTGGTTTAATTGTAGTTCCATGACACTTGGCAGGAAATGTTGCTTTTCTGAAGTGTGTAAGTGAAATTAAAGGTGTGTGAGACTCCTACTTCTGAAGGGCCAGCAGAACTGGAATCAGTCATCACTGAGACTTTCCTGCCTTTAATTATATTCTCCAAGAACCCGTGCACCGGCAGCTGAGGCATGAGGATCACCGTGAGTTCGAAGCCAGCCTGGGTTACATAGTGAGCTGTTCAAGGCCAGGCTACAGAACTACATAGCAAGAGCCTGCCGCGAAAGAAACAAAAACAAAAACAAAACACTATGCACTTACATTGCTCTGAAAAATTTACAGCGAAGCAGCCCCTGGACATCAGTTTGTCCCATCAGTGTTAAAGCTCCTGCCCAGCTCTTGGGTATTGGCCCTCTGCCATGCGTTGGACACAGCTGTCCCAGTGGGCTACAATGATGCCCTTCATGGAGATTATGTTCCCTGCTGATGACTCAGCCATTGAATAAGTTCTCTCTCTGTTACTCAGTAGTGTGTATATGTCTTTGTCTTCTCCCTTAAAATTGGAGCTCTCTGAGGGACAAGATCCTGCTAATGTCTCACTGTCATCCCCAGCATGCAAGCAGGATGCTTCACACATAGTAGGCACTAGAGTTGTTGTTGAATGAATGAAAGCATGAACATCTGTCCATCAGACAAGCAGTCTTCAGAAACATTGCAGAAAATTTGGTTTATTATTTGCTACAAAACTTGGGTACCTATGTACACTACACCTTGTGGCTCTATGTTACTTCATTTTGTAAGTACACTGTGCATTGTTGTGTTTAAGAAATGACGGTGACCATGTATTGTTTTTCGAGTTTGTCAAGATCACATTTACTGATAAGGACTGAAAGCTGCCAATCTTTTATCACCTGTGTGCCATCTAAAAACATGCTATTTATTTAGTGATAGTCCAGTGGTATAATTCCATAATTATCCTCATCAAAAAGGGACAAACTGTACTCTTCCACCCACTGATATTTCCTGAGCAATCACAGGATGAGTAATGTCCACTCCAACAACTACTCATTAAGCTCACATTATGAAGCCAGCTTGGCAAGGCCACATGGAGGGTACAAAGAACTCTACCGTGTGGTCTCTACCCTCACTTTGTTCCCACTAGTTGAGGGGAGAACACACAAGTGAAAAGTTCAATGATAAATGCTGTCACATACTGCATTTCTTGTGGTGGGTCATGTCCATTCTGAATTCTGACTGGTCAGCATTTTTGTTTGACTTTTTGAGACAGGGTCTCACTAGGCAGTTCAGGCTGGCCTCAAACTCATGGTGATCCTCCTACCTCAGCCTCCCAACTGCTGGGATTACAGGCATGTACTACCAAGAAGCTGACGGTGAAAGCTGATTGGTCAGCTTTTCATTCAATTCACTGACATACTCATTGTGATTG